ATGGAGTCCAAACTGCAACAACGCATGCACAAAAGAAGGTGCGATTGCTGGAGCTTGCGTACTTTTCAAGTGCATATGCTATGATGGTAAAGGTTGTCCGCAAGGCCGCCTCCCTGCACACTAGCTACACCTACATGCACTAGAAATACTCGAAAACTGCATTCAACTTTCAATATATATGTACGTACTTGGCACGTATTACATTCGACTAACTACGTGCCTATAGCTCCATCTGTTTGTAAATGATCGATGTAGTTTCTATACTATGTATCTGTTTGTAAATGATCGATGTAGTTTCTATACTATGTATATTACTTATGAAGGTTTCGTACATAATGTTCGCTTAATCGTATGTATAGTAAGCTGAGCGTACGTTGTAAAAGTACAATAACTTTTACACATAATGATGCTGTTTATTTGTAGAAATTGTGTACGACTGTAATTGTACATCATATTTTCTTTTGCTTGTGGTGGCAAAAATAGGGGGAGGGGGATTCTCTACCCTTCTACTTGGATGGTTACGGTTAAGCCACGTCAACATCGTATATTGATTTTTGGGTAAATCTCAGTTTACTACCCTTAAGTTTCGTGGTTTTCAAAATTTGGTACATGAAGTTTTTTTCGTCCCAGAGTCATACCTAAAATGTTAATTTTAGGACAATTTCATACATCCGTTAGTCTGGCTGTTAAGTTTTCCATTAACTGGTGACGTGGTGCCTATGTGGATAATGATTGGGCGCCACATGTCATTAAGGGGTCTACGTGGAAATTAAAATTAAAAAAATATATTTGAAGGAAAGTGTTATTAAAAATAAAATTAAAAATTAAAAAAAAAAACCAAATCCCCTTCGTCTTCCCCAAATCCCCACCCGTGCCCACCCTCCCACCACCCGATTTGCTTTTCTGGACCAACCCATTTTCGTCCTCGACCCTAAAAATGGGCAACTCGACGTAGTCCCAGCAGTCGACGTCCTCCAGAAGCTTGAAAGGCAAGACCTTGTTGTCCATCTCCACGTCAAACTCGTAGGCCACCGAATGCCCCATCTGCGAGTCCCTCAAATCGAACCCCGACACCTTCAGATCCTCCACTTGAAACCCTAATCCCTCCACAATCGCCTCCTTCAAATCCTGCAAATCAACCAATCAATCAATCAATCCAAATACAAAAATTCAAATTGTAAAGAGAGAAAAAGAGAGGGGGCGTACGGAGATGGCTCTGGGGGTGCTGTAGGGAGGGCGGAGCTCCGACGTGGAAATCAGAGAGAGAGAGAGGACCGAAGGAATTGCACCGACGGAGATAGCTCTGGGGTGGCGTAGGTCCATTGCAACAAAGTTTCCGGAAACGGTGTCTCCCTCGTACATAACTTGCTCCGAGACACATTCCAACTTCGTCACGGTGATTGAAAGAGCAATAGCAACATTGTCATTGCCGATGAAGATCATAAGAAAACCGTACGCCACGCAAATTTTGGCAGTCTCAAATTGCTTTCGCTTCTCCATTTTTTATCTACACTGAATCGAGAGAGACTATTCCTAAAGTGGGAGGATAAGGAGGCTTGAAGTTCGGTTAATTGGTTATGAAGTCTGTTGATCTGGGTTGTTTGGGAGGGGGGAGGTAGGGTGGTGGGGATTTTGGGGAAGACGAAGGGGATTTGGGTTTTTTTTTTTTTTTTACTTTTCTTTAAATAATTATTTTTTTGAATTTTTAATTTTCACGTGGACCCCTTAATGACACGTGATACCCAGTCATTATCCACATGAGCGCCACGTCATCAGTTAACGGAAGACTTAACAGATGTACGAGACTGTCCCAAAATTAATAGGTACAACTCTGGGACGAAAAAAACTTCATGTACCAAATATTAAAACCACAAAACTTAAGAGTAGTAAACTGATATTTACCCTTGATTTTTTTATAAAGATAATAAGACAAAAAGCAAAGTGTGAGAGGAGTGTGAGAGGAGGGGAGGGAAAAAGATGAGAATAGAATGTGAGAGAATCCTACTCTAAAATAGGGTACACATAGAGAGGGGAAGGGTAAGAGAGCTATAACTGGAAGGTTAATTGACATATACTTAATTGCACTCTTTACTATTTTAATGAAGAATCCATCTGTTGACGAACAAACGTAAGGGGCTTAATTAACCTAATTAAGCAAAAGAACAAACTAGTTAATCTCAATTTACCCACCCCCTTAAACCCACAACATACTACCCTAGAACATCTTCTCTCCTTATCCCACACGTTTAGATGGCTAGGGTAGTGTAGGGTAGGGTATGACAGTGCTTGGTAGCAGTTTAGGGATTTATTGTAGTTTGTTTCATTGCGCAAATTTACTCCAGATCAATTTTTTAGTCACTAGATCTTATATATTCAATTGGCAACTTCTGTAAATTGTTTATGAACTTCAATGAAAGATCATTCTATTGCTTCTTGTGAAAAATGGCAGTTTTCTATATACCAAGGAAAAAAGTTCAAATTCAACAATTAAAAAGTAATTGCATGTCGTATATTATGGCATGATCCATTTACTTAAGATAAGTCATCAATTCAGATATTTCAAGTTGGAATTTTCTAACGTAACAAGTATCCAGTTTATTGGATGTTCACAAAATTTGTATGCAACTACAAGTTTTGAAAACATATTTTGTATTACATTATGAATGGTGAGAATATTTTCCTCCTACCATAGAAAACTTTATGGCGTATAAAACAAATTATCAACTCTACCATTTTATAAATGTACTTTTTTTTTACTAAGGTAAGAACGCAAGAAAAAGCATGGGGAGGGAGACCTTTTGTGAGTCGGGCCTAGGGAAGGTTTGTAGTTGGAAGTGCTTTCAAAATGGTTGAAAGCGTTTTTGGTGAAAATATTGTTGGTATCTTTAGTAAAAATATAAGCAAATATTGGAAAAACACTTAAAATGTCTTTCTGCAACACATAACTGGTGTTTCATGCAGGAAACATGTCAAGTGATTTTGGAAGCCAAATTTTTTTTTGTAAAAACTTTCAATAATTTTGAAAGCACTTCTAAATGAGCTCATAATGTTTACAACATGACTTGTGAGTTATAACGCGTAGATACATTTTTCTTCCAACGCCTTCATGTTGTTGAATTTGTTGACCCACATAAGTATACAGTACATCTTTTTGTTTTCTGGGTCAATTGTTATTTATTTTGTTTCCATACGTATGAGATACCACATACCAGTTGGCTGTCGTTTATTTGTGAAATTGCTAGTGAGGCTCTACAGTAACACGGATGAAGATCATGATTAAATACAATAAAAAACAACCAATTGGCATAGGTGAATCATGACAAGACTGAAAAAAGCCTAACCTAACCGTAAAAGAATTGCTGCAATTTTGAATAAGATTGATGTTCATGGGAAGAGTTTAATTGGTTAAGACTTAAGAGTAATTTTTTTATATATAAAATTCTCTAAGTTTGAATCTCATTATTATAATTATAAAAAAAACGTATAACTTTTATTAACTGTGCTCCACGTATTTTTATTAATAAGCTCAATTGTATCAACTCTACCATTTTGTCCTTTCTAATCAACATACACATATGTTAGGATTGGAAAGACAAGTCAATATATATTTTATGTGCATGAAAATTAACGTTCGTATAAACACCATTAAAATCATTTTAACAAGGCATATTATAGAATAATAAAAATAAAATGGTTAATCTCAGTTTATTACTCTGAACATTCTTGGTTTTCAAAATAAAATTCCGATTATGATATTTGTAATTTTTTTTTAATCCAATGATATTTGTATTCGTAATTGAATGAACAAGATGGTACATTCATAAGACTTACTCCAACCCTTGGGTTAAATATGAGTTTTAACCCAAAATTTATTTTTAGGATAAATTTAGGCCAGAATTCTTCTTTGAGATAGTGAGCTAGCTCATCATATAAGTGTATTTTTTTAGTTTTATATTTATAAAGTCATTGAATCTAACGACTAAGATCTAATATGATCAAATTCAACGATAAAAAAAGATCTAACAGTCCAAATTTAAATTCAACGGCTAAAATAATTATAAAAAAGAAATTCTTTCATGTGTTTTTATATTCTTTCATAGTGTTCCACGAGTTTCATGGTGTCGGTTTAATAACTTGTCAATATTTATCAGAATCTAAATCTTTTAAGGTTAAAATGTTCATAAAATTATGGTCTACATAATTTTTTTTTATAAGAGTTACCTTAAGAAAAAAAATTATCCTAAATTCATTCTTTATAATCTCGGGCTAAAAATTACTTAACTCAAAATTCACCCAAATTAAGTGATTTTTCAATATTTATCGGAATTTAAATATTTTTAGGTTAAAATGTTCATAAAATTAAATTATGATAGCGTACATATTTTTTTTTAAAATTACTTTAAAAGAAAAAATTAGCCTAAATTTATTCTTCAATAATCTCGAACTAAAAAATTTAGGCCAGAAAGGTTGGAGTAGAAAAACTGTTTATGGGCTAAAAATTTTAGGTTTTAGCCCAAGGGTTGAAGATGTTCTAAGAGTTAGAGCAAAAAAAATGTTTCTGAGTTAAAACCTAAATTTTTTGGGTTAAAAAATTTAGGTTTTAACTCACGGGTTGAAGATGGTATTTGGTTGATGCCAACATAGTCATCTTTTAAAATATCTAAAAGACTTTTTTAGCCAAAATGGTTTTTGAGATTTGTAAAACTCCTCACTTTGGCCCCTGAGATTTGAAATCAATACAAGTGTTCCTAAGTTTGTGCACCATCAATTATATTTGTATAACCCTAATGTAACATATTTTTTCACGGAATGACTAAAATGATTAATGGTGAACAAACTCATAAACCACTTATATCGATTTCAAATCTTAGACACCAAAGTAAGAGTTATGTCAATTTCAAATACTAGTGTGGCTAAATTTTTTATTTTTTTAGTCTGATCACCAAATAAAAAGTATAAAATAAATAAATTTATACCAAATAAAAGGACTTTTAAAACTTGGAGGGCACTCTGTGTCTGCGGCATTGCCTACATAATACCGTTTACAGAAACCGACCTCGAACCGACAAGCTCAAGCAATCCAAGCAAGAACTCAACCATGGCGGCTAGGATGTTGCAGAGGCGCTTAGGCTCACTCCTTCTCCGCAATCAGCAGCCTAACTCTCATCTCTTCAAAGGTTAGGCCCGCCCTCTCAAAAACCCAACAAATCTTGCTCATCAATTCTTCGTTTTGCGTAGTCGATTTTGTGTGAAATTTAACTGCTATTGTAAGAAATTTTAAAAATTTATGGTGTATTTTGGTGTGTATGAAGGAAATTGATCATATTACAACTTGGGTTACTGATGGATTTGTAGACTAAGTTGTAGGGATTAATTTATGAACATCTTCTCTAATTTGTGTTGATGGGTATTTGTTTAGTTGTTTTAAATGCCTGATTAGGAGGATGATTTTATTAGGTAAATACGTATTAGTATCTCTAACATGGAACACTTAGAAGGCTGGTGGAACAATTTTTGAAATAGAGTTCTAAGAACCGTCTAAAGCAAATCCTTTCAAACAAGTTAGTAGGACTTAATTGAATATCGGAGCTCAAACTCGCTCGTGGAAGTGAAATACGTCTAATTAATAAGAACCCACTTACAGAAAAGAGATGCGACTGGAATACATGGTGGCTCTCTTTACTTGAGGCTCCACGAGAAACTGTATCTGTACAGAAACGAAGGCTCTCAAGCTTCACAAGAACGAAATTTCCACAACACCTACACTGTTTCCGTATGTCTGTAACTCGGAGTCTACTGACTCATGTAGAAAACCCGAACCTTGAACTTGAGGTTCAACTCATACATTCATTGCACTATTGCAGAATGCAAGACATACCTAGCAGTTTATGCATTTATAGCAGGGTTGTGCGTGTGCAGTGGAGACTAGTGATATTTACGAATTGAAGTTGTTAGAAATATGATTTCAGTGATTTCAGAATCGAAGTTTAGATATTGTCGTCGTGGATCTGGAAGTTCTGTTCTCGTAACATTAGAAATACTTTGGATGTTGATTTTAACACTAGTTCTTGTTTTTTGACCTCTTAGCTTTACATTCATGCTAATGGTCCATTTCTTTTGCGGAAGATTGCTAATTGAGAAAAGAAAAAGAAATGTGATGGTGGAAAATATATGGGAAACTCAGAAATTTTTCATCAAGTAGATGGCTATTGTTTACTCTTTTATTGATGGTGTTAGGACAGATTGGCGTTACTTGTTTGTTCGCACTCAAAACACAGAAATGGACACCCATATTATCTGATAATGCTATCCATCAATTTAGACACAGAAAACTATTCTTGTTACTGGATACTAAGTTGAATTTGTTGATCTATTTCCATCGAAGTCCTCCGTTTGTTTCTCCCCTTATGCTGAAGAACTTGTTGGTTCAGCCCGTCATTTATATGTTCTCCATGGATTTCTTTTAAAGATAAATATTTTCATGCTTAAACTGTATACTATTCCGTTTAACTTTTCCGTTTAACTTTTCTTGTTTTTGTTCAGACAAATTGTTGGCGGCAGATCAATTTGTTCCTTCTGCAAGTTCTATACTCAGAAGATATGGATTTGACAAAAGAGATCTTCAGACGCAAACAAATCCAACCAATCTGGTTAACGAGGATTTGACAAATCTTGAAGATGGCAGTTTGAAACCCAATAATGATGCGAATGCTATCAACAGTTCCGATACCAAATTTTCTGCTTCTTCCGAGCAGAAAATATCCCCAAGGCATGACCTGGCCATGCTTTTTACCTGCACTGTCTGTGAAACAAGATCCATGAAGACGTGCAGTAGAGAATCATACGAGAAAGGTGTGGTGGTAGCTCGCTGTGGCGGGTGTAACAATCTCCACCTGATTGCTGATCATCTCGGGTATTTTGGAAAACCATCCAACGTTGAGCAATTTCTGGCTGCCCGTGGGGAAGAGGTGAAGAAAGGTTCTGCTGATACGTTGAATCTGACTCTCGAAGACATAGCCGGAATGAAACTTCAGGGTTGAACTTAAGCAATTTGAATAGTTTCAGAAGCTTCATGGCATGTATATTAGAGTTTTCTTTAAGACAAATATGCTTCTGTGTTCGGCGTTAACCCTTATGTAGTATTATTTTAATTTTAGTATAATTTGGTGGTTGTGTTTTTGATCAAATACAAGAAAAGCAACCCACATATGTATAATTCGATTTTGATTGGTGCTGTTATATGATATATGCAAGCCTTTTCCCGTAAATCTGAGTTTAAGGAAAAGGCAAGGGGTTGATTTGATCCCAATTAAAGCAATGTAAATATTTTTTTTAGTGCTATTTACATTATTGGGAAGGGGGAATGGGCTAAATTTCATAATGAATCAACCATAATAAGTTGGTTTGAATTTGCTATTAGCGATAATCAAACTTAACACCTTTTACTTACAAGTGAAGACAAGACAATAGAAAAAAGGTAGCCACTTAGTACTACGGTCTAGTGGTATTTCTCTTCACTTGTAAATGAGAGGTTTTAATTCGATTCTCGTCAAAAACGAATTTAAACCAAATTATTGTTAGCCCACGTGAGGCTAAGTTTACCCCCCTATCCTTTAATATAGATAATATAGTCTATTAAAATATATATATATATCGCTTTTGTAATAGAGAAAACATTATCTAGCCTATTCGAAAGAATATATATCACTTTTGTAATAGAGAAAACAAAAAAGACAAGTGTTTCGCCTTTTCCATCATTTTCCTCCTCTCTCATCTCTTATGCCCCATCCCCCTCCCAGTATCCACCTCATCTTCCTCTCCCATTTCCAGTCTCCTTCCTTCATTTTTATTCCCAGTTTTCCCTTAAGTTTATCTCAATTTCCGTTGAGTCGGGTCTCAACTATCCCCCAAGTTTGTCTCAAATTTGGGCTTCATGCCCCTTATCCGGCGGTTTTCACTTACTTTTATTGCTTTCTGTCTTTTAATTTTCTTTCCTCCTTCCTCTTTAATAGCGATACTCCATCTCCGTCCCACCATGCACTCGGATCGGCGGCCTCCAATCAGAAATTGGATTCTAGATCCACTACCCTCCTTCACTTTCCCTCCCCAACCGGCCTGTCGAATTCCCATCAAGGCCAAGTGTTAAGTATTTTGTTGACCCTAGAAACTACAAAGCCTACGTGGCGCGCAGGCCGAGTAATTAATAAGCTAACTACGTCCTTCGGTGAATGCGGGGCGTGCCAACTCGTCTGCTGAGCTCGGCCGAGGAGTAAATTTGTTGATGTTGCGTTGGGTCGCGCTACTGACTTCTGCGTCTTGCGATTGTGGCCGAGAAAGGAACACGTATCGGCCTCTTGAGCTCTCGAACTTGAAGACAAGGTTACTATTCTCACGAAGTTCAATATCAAATTCGGCCCTCAATGTGAAGAATGTAATAACTCGTAACACCTCACTTCGCCGAGAAGGCTGATGAGATGACCTTGACCAATAAGGATTCAGAAATCCTTCTCGACCGAGACTTGGATAGGTAATCGGTCGTTCTCGCCGCAGTGCTGTTGATGCCAACGGAAGGTACTGCGAGACCGACTGATTCTACGGTGACAGAGCTATCTATGCCGACTTAAGATATCACCGGTTGCTTCCACAGTGTTGTTGATGCCAACGGAAGATGTGTCAGCGAAAAAAGGAAAAAGAAAAATCACAAGTTGTGAGAATTTGCGCAGGGCAATTTTGTATTGATTTGCAGGGATCCTCTAAATGGTGCTTGCAGCATGGTATTTATAGAAGCAGATGTGTGCCGTTGCTTCACCAATATAGAATTTGATTTTAACTCAAACTCGTCAACTAGAATTTCAGTCAAAGGCTTCCAACAGCCTATCTTTTAGATACCATGCTGGAACCAAAGCGTTATCTCCTATTTATTTTAACAGGACTCGGCAATAAAGGACACTACCTCTAATAATTCCAATGCAAGTTCAAATCTTGATCCATCCACCAAGCGTGTCCAGGTGCATGAAAATCAATTTCACTTGTGCTATGACTCTGAAAACTTTATCTTTATTTCTTTGCCAATGCCCATGCCTTATCACATCAACCAAAGGACTTTTTCATCTTGAAAATCTGACCTTGACATGCAATCCTAGTCAAAGATTCAACCTCAAAATCCACATGTCCCTTTTGTAGCAACCTAATGTAGTTTATTTGATTGGATGCTTGGCACCTCGCCAAGGATATTCGGTGGTGCTCCTTGATCTCAATTCGCACCCTCCAGGATTATCTTAATATTTTTTCAAGATAATTACTACAATAACCCAATAGTAATATCTAAAAAAATATGAAATCCAACGGTCTAGAACCCAATCATTCAACGGCCTCGTTCGAGCCGATAGTGTAAAATCGGGTCCAAACAATTTTACATACCCCTTAGCTTCACCATCTATCTATGATATTTTGTTTGTATTTATTTGCAGATGTTTGTGAAGGGGACTTGCATCTGGTGTTTGTTCTCTTGGTTCCAAAGTTTGGCTTCCGAGGATGTGGCGGCAGCAGTGGTCTGTTTATGCTGCTTGAGACTAGGGTTTTTTTGTTGTTTGTTATTGCAGCCTACATGCCTAAATTTGTAAGGGCCTCCTGTTGTATATTGGGTTGCTGCTTTCACTTTCCTTGGGCCTTTTACTTTATTTGTTGTTGTTTATGGGGTTCCTTTTGAGCCTTGTACTAGTTTTATTATTACGAAGATTCTATTGACCAGAAAGAAAAAAAAAAAAAGACAAGTGGTTATGGTTTACGGGTCAAGTACTCGAGCTCCATCCGGCTACAATCCGAGTTTATATAAATACCAACCGACCAACGGAAATTGCTCTAAAACTCCAACCAGAAAAACCATGGCGAGTAGCACATGTATTCCCTCCACTTTCACACCAATTCTTCACAACTTGACCGCCAGAAACTCCATGACAATGGTGGGTTTGCTATCTTATGCTCCCAAAACCCTCAGACCTCTCTCTCTCCCCAAAAGCTTCGGTTTCAGCTCACTTTCCACCGCCGCAAAACTCCCCAGAAAATTCTTCCAATTGCAAGGTAGTTTCTTTCTTCAATCTTCAAATACCAACTGTTATTTGTCATGTGGGTCTATTTTTTTTTATGTGTTTGACTATCTGGTTTGGAAAAAGATCGAAACTTTTCGTGTTTGGATTGGTTTTGTTTGAATTGGTGGTTTTGATGGGTTGAATACTGGTGTGGTTCGGAGCGGTATCGAGTTGGTTGATGCTTTGTTGATTATTGTTTTTAAGCAACTGGTTTTGCTTGGTGGAGAAGAAATGGATTGGATTACATATGGTAGGAATTGAAGTGGAAATTGGTGTTGAATGGGAAATGGACGAATAAGGAGACACGGGATACAGAATTTGGAGGTTTTCGTTTGATTATTCGAATGAGGAAATGGTTCTTTTTGTTGTAATATTTGTTGGAGTAAAAGTAGCTCATTGAAGTAACCATATTGGAACGGTTTGAGTTTGGGGATGAGTGTTTCTGTTCAAAGAACTTCAACTTTGGTATGTATGTATGCCGGAGTCTGTTAATATGTTTGGCTCTAAATCGAAGGGAACCGTGAAGATCGTGTCTGAGAACTTGATTTTTGATAACCAATAAGTTGGAATGATCCACTATCCAGTGTATAAGAAATGGGAATGATGCAAAGAAGATGAGTACTCTTGCAAAATATGTATTAGGAAGCAGCCCGTGAATCAGATTTTTCCCCTTTTGTGAATTTTTTTCTCTTGCTTTGAAACCATCCACTTCCTATGTGGGTGAAATCTAATATATAAAAAAATGAGACTTATTTCTCCCTCCCTCTCGAGTCTAGACAAGCAAACTACATATTTAATTGTTTGTATGGAAAATCACCTCCATACACTGACTGTTATTTCTGTCATGGAATCCTGTTCCCTTGCTAGAATCATTTGTCCCTGATTAAAGGCGTCAGTACTTGTTTGTACTGTGATGTTATCATGGGTTTTTCATTTCAACTTGAGTTTGTCAGAATGAGTCTTTTTTCACTTATACAATGCCTTAATTTTTGTCAGTGAGATCAGTGGCCACTCCAGCAGAAGCTGTTGCTGGGTTTGATGACATGGTTGCTGGGACTCAGAGAAAGTATTACATGTTAGGCGGGAAGGGCGGTGTAGGGAAGACAAGTTGTGCTGCTTCACTTGCCGTAAAATTCGCTAACAATGGGCATCCCACTCTTGTGGTTTCCACTGATCCAGCACATTCCTTGAGTGATTCCTTTGCCCAGGTTTAAAATGCTCTTACTTATTAATGTTTTGAAGTAGTTGCATTTCCTGTAAAGCAGAATTTAACTGGTTATAATGTCTATGTGTGTGTGCGCAAGATTATAATGATACATGTTATCTTGTTGTAGGATTTGGCTGGGGGGACACTTGTACCAGTTGATGGGCCTGAAGCTCCACTTTTTGCTCTTGAGGTATGTGGAGTTAGCTTCCCATAAAAGCTTTTGCTAATTTCTTCACATACGTCTGTTTGTGCTATTATTTGATGGGGTGATCATTATAATGATAAAGTTGTTGTTTTGTTTCTTAAGATGGTTTTGTGATCTTATATATGGTGTATGTACTAAACTAATAGCTATGCCACAGATAAACCCGGAGAAGGCAAGGGAAGAATTCCGTAATGTAAGTCAGAAAAATGATGGAACAGGAGTCAAAGATTTCATGGATGGTATGGGCCTTGGGATGCTTGCGGAACAGGTAAAGCTCTATTTGAGATATTGGTATTGCAACCTTAGATCGTGTTTATCATCTTTTGATCTCATTTTATGTGGTGTAGATGTTCTTAAGCATTAAGGCCTAACTGATAGGTTGCACACATGTGCATGCACATGAATGCTCACATTATTATTTAACTAATATTGGATTTTCACATAGCAGCTGTAAAAGGAGCATCTATACCAATAGGGATTGGCTTATGCTTTATGATAATCCTTGCTTATTCTTCACCTGTGTGTTTCTTTTTCTGGTTGAAGTTAGGAGATTTAAAATTGGGAGAATTACTAGACACACCTCCTCCTGGTTTGGATGAAGCTCTAGCAATTTCCAAAGTACGTATTTTCTGGCTCACCAACACACACAAAATCTTTTTTGCTCTTCTATTAATGTTTAATCCTCTTTCCAGGTGATACAATTTCTTGAAGCCCCAGAATATAGCATGTTTACCCGCATAGTTTTTGATACTGCACCCACGGTGAGAGAATATACTTGCTGTTTTTCTTCAATGACTTTTTAAAGAAAAAATAG